AAGGAGAAGGAGAAGGAGAAGGAGAAGAAGAAGAAGGAGAAGGAGAAGGAGAAGAAGAAGAAGAAGAAGAAGGGGAGAGAGAGGGAGCAAATGTCAACAGTGTCTGTGGTATGGCAGTCAGGTGCTTCGCTGTGCCGCCATAACTCCTGAGTTCGAATCACAAGCGTGGCGAAAACCCTTATTGATTTCCTCGGCCTTTCGGCTAGGAGGTTGTATGCATCTGAGCTCCGACTAGCCCTGACAGGCAGGGTTGTAGCCCGCCTCCGAAATGATTTAAAATGATGTGTCGACAGGGACGGAAAAACACATAATATACTCAAAACAAAAGAGAACTAAGGTCTGTAGTAGTTCTACCTTTGGAACCACTTTGCTACCGCAGAATTAAATAGTTCTCTCTGACGTTTTGAGTTGTTAAACCATGCAGTCAGAAACCAAACGTTCTATTTGCTCTGTCAAAATCGTTAGAATACTCGGAATCGTTTTCATGATATTCGAAGAACTGCATTCGAAAATTGTTGACACATTATTGTGAAACTCAAAAATGTTGACGTCAAATATCTCAAAATTAGGTATGGAACAGAGAGAACCTTGTAATTTTGAGGTAGTGACTTGACCCCATTATGTTGGCTTCTGCATGGACTGACTTACGTCTGTGGAGTAGGTGGTTGGCGGTTGCTCTGATATGGTATGCTCCTTCTTTTCTATCTTAATAGCCATCTTTTTTTTACCCCTCCTCCTGCATTTCTTTATGTTTGAATCTCTAGTAACATGTCCAGTCTTCGGTACTCATATGCCCTGTTTGTATTACAAGAGCAGTAAAACCCATAACAAAACTAACTTAAACGTATGTGGGGGAATGGTTGGGTTCTTTGCTATTGCAGGAAGAAGCCATGCGTTCGATTTCTCTGTGTTGAATTTAGCTCATCAAGTGGCTTAGTCCATCTACTGCAATACTATATTCCACTCAGCCACGACTATTGGCCCTGACAGGAAGAGCTGAGGCAGCACGCTTTATGAACGATATCATTTTTGTCCATGTTGACGGAACATAATTTACAGTAATAATAATTACTCGTATGATCTATCTCAACGATGTTTACGCTAACTTTGATAAATATGAATTTGTCCTGTATCTTCAGAAAAACCCACGACGACAACGACAACAACAACAACAACAACAACTACAACAACAACCACAACTACAACACCAACTATAACAACGACGACGACAACAGCACCAAGTACACCACCATCAACAACCACAACAACAGCACCAAGTACACCACCGGCAACAACCACAACAAGGGCAGACCCCTTATTAACGCCTACGAAAACTACATCAACTGAAGGTATTGTATACAAGAGCTGTCCGAAAAGCGAAGTTAAAATGACAATCTTTGTGTCATAACTTAGCTTTTTCTAAACAGTCGTTTCCAATGGTGATTCTATGCAGTGGCCCAGAATTTACAGTGTCCTCGAGAAAAACAAAATGTCAAGAGAATGCACCTGGAATTTTTGTAATAAGACCAGTGAATCTCTTTTTTGATACATGGAACCTCATCCTCCTCCTCCTCCGAACCTCCTCCTCCTCCTCCTCCTCCTCCTTCTCCTTCTTCTTCTTCTTCTTCTTCTTCTTCTTCTTCTTCTTCTTCTTCTTCTTCTTCTTCTTCTTCTTCTTCTTCTTCTT